GGCGCTCCCAGCGCTGTGCCTCGTCGCCCTCGTGGCCGTCGGCGCGGCCGCCCAGGACAGCACCTGCCTGCTGCAGTCCAGGGCCGCCGCCGTCTCGGAGCCAGCCTCCAACCACTCCGCTGGGAAGTCGGAGACGCTGGGGCAGGTTATCAGAGGAGGAAGAGGTAATTACCCGCACCGCCATCCTTCCCTAGTTTTCCCCTTTTTGGGCCTCTTGGGAGGCCATCGTCGCCACCGCTGGCTTCGCTTCGAAATTCTGGTCAGAACGCACCCCGGGAGAGGTCCGCGAGTAGCAGTATTGGTACCTTTTGGTTTCCCCAGGTTCTGGTTTTGGATGGTGGACGGCTTCGCTCAGGGTGGACACCAGGAACGTCACTGTCAGCGCCGCCGGTACGTCACACAGTTCAGCTACTGGGGAGGGTCCAGCAGCCCAGTGTATCTCCAGATCATGGCGCCCTTACTCGGGTAATACCTACACACTCGTCGGCGAAGTGTACTCGCCAGGCACCACGGTCGGCGCAACAAACTACGTCTCGGCCAACATTCCGGTCCAAGCCGGGGACTACCTTGGCTGGTCCTTTGTGGGGACGGCAGCCTTCGGCTATGCTGGCTCGCCGGACGCTTGTGGCACTGTCCGCTGGAATGCAAATGGGGACGGCGGCCAGCGCACTGTGGGGGGAACGTGGACCTACAATTCCGGGGGTTGCCGATCCTACGATGTGTGCGCGACGATCGGTTCGGCGTCGACGCCCGCCCGACGCCGTACCCGACGGCCTACCCGACGCCTACCCGACGCCCTTCCCGACGCCCAGCCCGACGCCCAGCCCGACGTATCCTCCGAATTGGCCCACGCCGCACCCGACGTTTCCTTCTGGAGTTCCGCTGGCGGGCGGAGCAGGCGCAAGCGTGGCTGCCACTGGCGATCCCCATCTGCAGAACGTTCTTGGTCAGCGATTCGACTTGATGAAGCCGGGCAAGCATATTCTGATAAACATCCCTCGTGGAAGGCATAAGAATGCATTGCTTCGTGTGCAGGCCGATGCGCGCAAATTGGGTGGACAATGCGCAGACATGTATTTCCAAGAGCTAAATATCACAGGGCAGTGGGTGGAGGCGAAAGGTACCAGCGGTTTGCGTTTCCAATCTGATGACGTGTATGACGAGCAACCGAAGTGGCTTAAGTTTGGGACGGTGCAGGTGAAGGTTGCACATGGGCACACCCAGGACGGGGCCAAGTATTTGAATTTCTACGTTAAGCATCTTGGGCACTCTGGGCTTGCAGTCGGAGGATTATTGGGAGAAGATGATCACTCGGATGCAGCGATGTCTTCGGATGGATGTGCTCACCACATCTCCCTTCTTGAGTTACCGTCCAAATCGGCTCAAAGCACATCGGTCTTCTCTGTTGCAGAGGCAAGCTTCAACTGATGGAATGAGGCTCCCCTTCTAGGCTGCTTGAGCAACGCGTGGAGTATTGCACTCGTAAACTATGTAATGCAAATGGGTCGATTAGGTTGATGTGCGCTGTGACCTGTGTTCTGTTGACATTTTGGGAAAACGCAAACTTTGACATTGAAAGACGCTTAGAGCCGCTTGATCTCGTCGCGGATTGTGCATCTCACCTCGCGAGTGAAGCCTACGACCAACATGTCTACCGTGAAGTCCACGAGTGCGGCACGAGAAGGCAAACTCGCTGTCGTACCATGCAACCCACTTCACGAGCCTGTTGGGGCCGAAGGGGTTGTCGACAGGGCATGTCTATCGAAGAACACACATCGGCCAAAACATAATTTCTCGGGTGGCCGCGCGGACCTCCGAGGACGTTGTGCTTTTGCCGATGTGTAGCCCTCTAGCCTCGAAGCTGGCGGACACGAGGGCTTCGCCTCCGCGGCCAGGGAAGCCCCGCCTGTCGCCCCGTTGGGAGCGTCGTCGGGCCCTCGCCCGTGCCACCTCGGTGGCGCAGCCCGGGTCGCCCAGCCGGTGCCGTCCATGCGTGGGGACCTCGGGGCATGCCCCGCAGGACTGCCTCTGAAGTGCCCAGCTATACCCTGGTGCGCCCGTGCTGAAGCGCAGCACGCGCCGCGCTCAAGACGTCCATGCTGACACGCTGCGCGTCGGCTCGGCACGCGCTGGCTCTACGTCTCGGCGAACGCATCGCGCCAGACCTGCGCGTCCAGTCCACGTGTCGAGCGCCGTGCCAGCTCGCTGCGTGCTGCGTGTGGCGTATCGGGGCAGCTGAGCCGCAGGGTGGACCGTCGTTTTGTGTCACATGTGCACAAGTGAACAGATTCGTAGAAGAACCAGTTGCGTAAGCAGAACTTTCGGAGCTCCGCCCGGACTTGTTGGGTCGGCGCTGGCCCCCCCCCCCCCCAACCTGGCGGCGCCTCGGGCGCCGCTCCCTGGCGCGCGGCCCTCCGAAAGGTTCTGTGCATGCCGTCATTTCTGCTTCTTCACATGGTATCATGTAGTGATATGGAGCGGCGCCCCCCCAGCTGCTGCTCGCATGTCGTGCACTTTCGAGCACGCCCCGCAGGGCTCCCTCTCCCGGCACGTGGCCACCCGGGCACAGCTATCGCTGGGTCGCTTGCCGGCCCGGCAGCTGCTGGTTGCATTGTTTGAGCATTTTTGGAATATTTTTAATTTTTCGTTCAAAATCCCCCTGTAGGGGGACAGGCCCGGCTTAAGGCCAGTGACTTCAAATGCTTGCGAACGACTCGACGCCTAAGGAGAGGAACGGAGGAAAGGCGGCAGCAGCAACCGCACGGAAGAGAAGATCCTACTCATATACTTTTATAAGGCCGGGGACGCCGGAAAATGCCCACAACCCCCTCCCTAACGAATTTGGCCCTCCACGGGCCTCCGGGCAACCCTCCAGACGACACGAGAGCCCCTAAGAGGGCCCCAGACGGGTTCCAGGGGTTCTGGCGCACTCTCGAAACGACCCCAGAGACCCCCAATACGGTTCACGACGACCTCCAAGAAGCCGTCATACCGTCATACCCCCAAAAATCGCTCCAGAACGTCCTAAGAAGCTTCCAAGAGCACTCCCAAGCAGGCCCCAAGAGGCAAAACTCAAAACTGATTGATTTTCGAAAGGGTTTTTGGTGAATTGTTGGTCTCTCCTCTTTCCGGATTCCCGACGCTCCAAGACGGCGGTCTTTTGGGCGTCCGAAGCCGCTTGGGAGGCTCCCAAATCGCCCCACAACCATCCGAAAGGGCTTCCAGGCAGTCCAGGCGAGCCCCAAAACGGCACAACAGGGGTCCAAGATGGCCCTAAGAGAGCCCCATGGCGGCCCAAGATGGCCCCAAGACACCCTCCGAAGCGTTGCAAATCGTGACCCGGTCGTTCAGGGAGACCGCCTTTGGAAACAGGGTGGCCTGAGGAAGCCCGGCCCCCAGAGCACGCCCAGGAAGCTTCCAGAAGGCCTCAAGAAAGCTTGAAAAAGTTTTGTGAGGCGAGGCCCCCAGAGGCTCTCCAAGGAGGAGCCTCCGCAAAAAGAGCTGAGGAGGATGGGGAGAATGCGCAGGGTAGTATGGCGAGAACGAGGAAAAACAACATGGAGGAAGGATAACGAAAAACATTATTATGACGGCGATGCCGGAAAAGGCAACAAGGAGTTACCTCGAAATTGCTGGCTTAACTTTCCTGCCATTTCGCTTGCGTACCAAACTTCAAGGACCAAGGTGCATGGCGCGAAGCGCCACTGCAGTCTTGTATATATACCTATACGACCACCCTTCGGGTGATAAGGAGGTTGTGTGGGGGGGGAGAAAGGGAGGGGAACCAACATCTGACTCAATCGATCTCACTATCGATCTCACTCAACGGGACACCACGGGACACCACGGGACACTTGTTGATCTCATTATCGATCTCACTATCGATCTCACTCAACGGGACACCACGGGACACCACGGGCCATCACGGGACACCACGGGACACCTCGGGACACCTCTCGATCTCACTATCGATCTCACTATCGATCTCACTTTTTGGGACACCATAGGACACCACGGGACACATCGGGACACCACATCGATCCCACTATCGATCGCACTATCGATCTCACTCAACGGGACACCACGGGACACCACGGGACACCGGCGGGACACCGTCGGGACACCAGCGGGACACCGGCGGGACACCGCGGGCCACCGGCCGCCGGAGGAGGAACATTTGGTCCGGCCGCGGCCCAGCCACAGGAGGATTTCGGGACACCAGCGGGACACCGGCGGCACACAGCGGGCCACCGGCCGCCGGAGGAGAAACAACGGGACACCACGGGACACCACGGGACACTTGTCGATCTCACGATCGATGTCACTCAACGGGAGACCACGGGACACCTCGGGACACCTCTCGATCTCATTATCGATCTCATTATCGATCTCACTCAACGGGACACCACGGGACACCTCGGGGCACCACATCGATCTCACTATCGATTTCACTATTGATCTCACTATCGATCTCACTCAACGAGACACCACGGGACGCCTGTGGATCGCACGATCGATCTCATAATCGATCTCTCTTTTTGGGACACCACGGGACACCTCGGGGCACCACATCGATCGCACTGTCGATCTCACTATCGATCTCACTATCGATCTCACTCCACGGGACACCACGGGACACCACGGACGGGCGGACGGCGGAGGATAATCATTTGTCTTGACTTCGCCCTAGCAGCGGCGGGTTCATTCCTCTCGAGCGCCCACGCAGCTTCGCCTCGCCCGCGCGCACGACACGAACGGAACGAAACGATTTCCCGGTGTTGGGGGTCTCCGTCCCGCTGCGATCTCACCCCCCAACCTCCGAGAGCGGACTCGGTCCTGGCTGCGGCAGTATCGGCCGCTGCTGCGCTCGGCACTTTGCGCATCGGCAGCGGCACTTGAACGACCGTGAGCGGCAACCCGATGCTGCGCGACACGCGCGCAGGTGCAGCAACACAGCTCTTCTGTATGCCAACGCACCCTTCGCGGCCTGGAGGTGGAGGATAAGGACCGACACCCGAAAAGTACCCCCAAACAGCCCCCACGAGGCCGCCAAGCACGCTCCCGTAGGCATTTTGGACCACGCCGTGCTCGCACTCGGCAGAGGTCCTCAAACTCTCGCCTTGCACACGTCTCCACAACCTCAGGTGATTGTTCTCTTATTCATCGTTTTGCCGATCGGCGCGGGCCCTCGCACCCCCTCCCCCGCCCCATGGAGTAGATCTTGCTTGTTTTTGGCGCCTGTTTCAAGCAGGTGGGGTCTCCCCCATAGGACGCACTGTTGCAGACAGTCGCATTGAGCAGAGGTCCAGAGCCAGACCCTCCCTCCTCCACCACCCCTTCCGCCCAATGTCGAAACGCCGAATAAGAAAACGTTCACCAGGCGTTCTTGTAGCCATGCGTTCTCGGGCAGCCATGGCGCTCCCAGCGCTGTGCCTCGTCGCCCTCGTGGCCGTCGGCGCGGCCGCCCAGGACAGCACCTGCCTGCTGCAGTCCAGGGCCGCCGCCGTCTCGGAGCCGGCCTCCAACCACTCCGCTGGGAAGTCGGAGACGCTGGGGCACTGCTCCATGGTTGGCGGTCCAGGTTATCAGAGGAGGAAGAGGTAATTACCCGCACCGCCATCCTTCCCTAGTTTTCCCCTTTTTGGGCCTCTTGGGAGGCCATCGTCGCCACCGCTGGCTTCGCTTCGAAATTCTGGTCAGAACGCACCCCGGGAGAGGTCCGCGGAGTAGCAGTATTGGTACCTTTTGGTTTCCCCAGGTTCTGGTTTGGATGGGTGGACGGGCTTCGCTCAGGTGGACACCAGGACGTCTGTCAGCGCCGCCGGTACGGTCACACAGTTCAGCTACTGGGGAGGGTCCAGCAGCCCAGTGTATCTCCAGATCATGCGCCCTTACTCGGGTAATACCTACACACTCGTCGGCGAAGTGTACTCGCCAGGCACCACGGTCGGCGCAACAAACTACGTCTCGGCCAACATTCCGGTCCAAGCCGGGGACTACCTTGGCTGGTCCTTTGTGGGGACGGCAGCCTTCGGCTATGCTGGCTCGCCGGACGCTTGTGGCACTGTCCGCTGGAATGCAAATGGGGACGGCGGCCAGCGCACTGTGGGGGGAACGTGGACCTACAATTCCGGGGGTTGCCGATCCTACGATGTGTGCGCGACGATCGGTTCGGCGTCGACGCCCAGCCCGACGCCGTACCCGACGGCCTACCCGACGCCCTACCCGACGCCCTTCCCGACGCCCAGCCCGACGCCCAGCCCGACGTATCCTCCGAATTGGCCCACGCCGCACCCGACGTTTCCTTCCGGAGTTCCGCTGGCGGGCGGAGCAGGCGCAAGCGTGGCTGCCACTGGCGATCCCCATCTGCAGAACGTTCTTGGTCAGCGATTCGACTTGATGAAGCCGGGCAAGCATATTCTGATAAACATCCCTCGTGGAAGGCATAAGAATGCATTGCTTCGTGTGCAGGCCGATGCGCGCAAATTGGGTGGACAATGCGCAGACATGTATTTCCAAGAGCTAAATATCACAGGGCAGTGGGTGGAGGCGAAAGGTACCAGCGGTTTGCGTTTCCAATCTGATGACGTGTATGACGAGCAACCGAAGTGGCTTAAGTTTGGGACGGTGCAGGTGAAGGTTGCACATGGGCACACCCAGGACGGGGCCAAGTATTTGAATTTCTACGTTAAGCATCTTGGGCACTCTGGGCTTGCAGTCGGAGGATTATTGGGAGAAGATGATCACTCTGATGCAGCGATGTCTTCGGATGGATGTGCTCACCACATCTCCCTTCTTGAGTTACCGTCCAAATCGGCTCAAAGCACATCGGTCTTCTCTGTTGCAGAGGCAAGCTTCAACTGATGGAATGAGGCTCCCCTTCTAGGCTGCTTGAGCAACGCGTGGAGTATTGCACTCGTAAACTATGTAATGCAAATGGGTCGATTAGGTTGATGTGCGCTGTGACCTGTGTTCTGTTGACATTTTGGGAAAACGCAAACTTTGACATTGAAAGACGCTTAGAGCCGCTTGATCTCGTCGCGGATTGTGCATCTCACCTCGCGAGTGAAGCCTACGACCAACATGTCTACCGTGAAGTCCACGAGTGCGGCACGAGAAGGCAAACTCGCTGTCGTACCATGCAACCCACTTCACGAGCCTGTTGGGACCGAAGGGGTTGTCGACAGGGCATGTCTATCGAAGAACACACATCGGCCAAAACATAATTTCTCGGGTGGCCGCGCGGACCTCCGAGGACGTTGTGCTTTTGCCGATGTGTAGCCCTCTAGCCTCGAAGCTGGCGGACACGAGGGCTTCGCCTCCGCGGCCAGGGAAGCCCCGCCTGTCGCCCCGTTGGGAGCGTCGTCGGGCCCTCGCCCGTGCCACCTCGGTGGCGCAGCCCGGGTCGCCCAGCCGGTGCCGTCCATGCGTCCGCACCTCGGGGCATGCCCCGCAGGACTGCCTCTGAAGTGCCCAGCTATACCCTGGTGCGCCCGTGCTGAAGCGCAGCACGCGCCGTGCTCAAGACGTCCATGCTGACACGCTGCGCGTCGGCTCGGCACGCGCTGGCTCTACGTCTCGGCGAACGCATCGCGCCAGACCTGCGCGTCCAGTCCACGTGTCGAGCGCCGTGCCAGCTCGCTGCGTGCTGGGCGTGGCGTATCGGGGCAGCTGAGCCGCAGGGTGGACCGTCGTTTTGTGTCACATGTGCACAAGTGAACAGATTCGTAGAAGAACCAGTTGCGTAAGCAGAACTTTCGGAGCTCCGCCCGGACTTGTTGGGTCGGCGCTGGCCCCCCCCCCACCTGGCGGCGCCTCGGGCGCCGCTCCCTGGCGCGCGGCCCTCCGAAAGGTTCTGTGCATGCCGTCATTTCTGCTTCTTCACATGGTATCATGTAGTGATGTGGAGCGGCGCCCCCCCAGCTGCTGCTCGCATGTCGTGCACTTTCGAGCACACCCCGCAGGGCTCCCTCTCCCGGCACGTGGCCACCCGGGCACAGCTATCGCTGGGTCGCCTGCCGGCCCGGCAGCTGCTGGTTGCATTTTTGGAGCATTTTGGGAATATTTTTAATTTTTCGTCCAAAATCCCCCTGTAGGGGGACAGGCCCGGCTTAAGGCCAGTGACTTCAAATGCTTGCGAACGACTCGACGCCTAAGGAGAGGAACGGAGGAAAGGCGGCAGCAGCAACCGCACGGAAGAGGAGATCCTACTCATATACTTTTGTAAGGCCGGGGACGCCGGAAAATGCCCACAACCCCCTCCCTAACGAATTTGGCCCTCCACGGGCCTCCGGGCAACCCTCCAGACGACCCGGGAGAACCTCACGAGAGCCCCTAAGAGGGCCCCAGACGGGTTCCAGGGGTTCTGGCGCGCTCTCGAAACGACCCCAGAGACCCCCAATACGGTTCACGACGACCTCCAAGAAGCCGTCATACCGTCATACCCCCGAAGATCGCTCCAGAACGTCCTAAGAAGCTTCCAAGAGCACTCCCAAGCAGGCCCCAAGAGGCAAAACTCAAAACTGATTGATTTTCGAAGGGTTTTTGGTGAATTGTTGGTCTCTCCTCTTTCCGGATTCCCGACGCTCCAAGACGGCGGTCTTTTGGGCGTCCGAAGCCGCCTGGGAGGCTCCCAAATCGCCCCACAACCATCCGAAAGGGCTTCCAGGCAGTCCAGGAGAGCCCCAAAACGGCACAACAGGGGTCCAAGATGGCCCTAAGAGAGCCCCATGGCGGCCCAAGATGGCCCCAAGACACCCTCCGAAGCGTTGCAAATCGTGACCCGGTCGTTCAGGGAGACCGCCTTTGGAAACAGGGTGGCCTGAGGAAGCCCCGCCCCCAGAGCACGCCCAGGAAGCTTCCAGAAGGCCTCAAGAAAGCTTGAAAAAGTTTTGTGAGGCGAGGCCCCCAGAGGCTCTCCAAGGAGGAGCCTCCGCAAAAAGAGCTGAGGAGGATGGGGAGAATGCGCAGGGTAGTATGGCGAGAATGAGGAAAAACAACATGGAGGAAGGATAACGAAAAACATTATTATGACGGCGATGCCGGAAAAGGCAACAAGGAGTTACCGCGAAATTGTTGGCTTAACTTTCCTGCCATTTCGCTTGCGTACCAAACTTCAAGGACCAAGGTGCATGGCGCGAAGCGCCACTGCAGTCTTGTATATATACCTATACGACCACCCTTCGGGTGATAAGGAGGTTGTGTGGGGGGGGAGAAAGGGAGGGGAACCAACATCTGACTCAATCGATCTCACTATCGATCTCACTCAACGGGACACCACGGGACACCACGGGACACTTGTTGATCTCATTATCGATCTCACTATCGATCTCACTCAACGGGACACCACGGGCCATCACGGGACACCACGGGACACCTCGGGACACCTCTCGATCTCACTATCGATCTCACTATCGATCTCACTTTTTGGGACACCATAGGACACCACGGGACACATCGGGACACCACATCGATCCCACTATCGATCTCACGATCGATCTCACTCAACGGGACACCACGGGACACCACGGGACACCGGCGGGACACCGTCGGGACACCAGCGGGACACCGGCGGGACACCGCGGGCCACCGGCCGCCGGAGGAGGAACATTTGGTCCGGCCGCGGCCCAGCCACAGGAGGATTTCGGGACACCAGCGGGACACCGGCGGCACACAGCGGGCCACCGGCCGCCTGAGGAGAAACAACGGGACACCACGGGACACCACGGGACACTTGTCGATCTCACTATCGATGTCACTCAACGGGAGACCACGGGACACCTCGGGACACCTCTCGATCTCATTATCGATCTCACTCAACGGGACACCACGGGACACCTCGGGGCACCACATCGATCTCACTATCGATTTCACAAATCTCACTATCGATCTCACTCAACGAGACACCACGGGACGCCTGTGGATCGCACGATCGATCTCATTATCGATCTCTCTTTTTGGGACACCACGGGACACCTCGGGGCACCACATCGATCGCACTGTCGATCTCACTATCGATCTCACTATCGATCTCACTCCACGGGACACCACGGGACACCACGGACGGACGGACGGCGGAGGATAATCATTTGTCTTGACTTCGCCCTAGCAGCGGCGGGTTCATTCCTCTCGAGCGCCCACGCAGCTTCGCCTCGCCCGCGCGCACGACACGAACGGAACGAAACGATTTCCCGGTTGGGGGGCTCCGTTCCACTGCGATCTCATCCCCCAACCTCAGAGAGAGAGAGAGAGAGAGAGCGGACTCGGTCCTGGCTGCGGCAGTATCGGCCGCTGCGCTGGGCACTTCTGCGCATCGGCACGGCACTTGCACGACCGTGAGCGGCAACCCGATGCTGCGCGACATGCGCGCAGGTGCAGCAACACAGCTCCTCTGTATGCCAACGCACCCTTCGCGGCCTGGAGGTGGAGGAGAAGGACCGACACCCGAAAAGTACACCCAAACAGCCCCCACGAGGCCGCCAAGCACGCTCCCGTAGGCATTTTGGACCACGCCGTGCTCGCACTCGGCAGAGGTCCTCAAACTCTCGCCTTGCACACGTCTCCACAACCTCAGGTGATTGTTCTCTTATTCATTGTTTTGCCGATCGGCGCGGGCCCTCGCACCGCCTCCCCCGCCCCATGGAGTAGATCTTGCTTGTTTTTGGCGCCTGTTTCAAGCAGGTGGGGTCTCCCCCATAGGACGCACTGTTGCAGACAGTCGCATTGAGCAGAGGTCCAGAGCCAGACCCTCCCTCCTCCACCACCCCTTCCGCCCAATGTCGAAACGCCGAATAAGAAAACGTTCACCAGGCGTTCTTGTAGCCATGCGTTCTCGGGCAGCCATGGCGCTCCCAGCGCTGTGCCTCGTCGCCCTCGTGGCCGTCGGCGCGGCCGCCCAGGACAGCACCTGCCTGCTGCAGTCCAGGGCCGCCGCCGTCTCGGAGCCGGCCTCCAACCACTCCGCTGGGAAGTCGGAGACGCTGGGGCACTGCTCCATGGTTGGCGGTCCAGGTTATCAGAGGAGGAAGAGGTAATTGCCCGCACCGCCATCCTTCCCTAGTTTTCCCCTTTTTGGGCCTCTTGGGAGGCCATCGTCGCCACCGCTGGCTTCGCTTCGAAATTCTGGTCAGAACGCACCCCGGGAGAGGTCCGCGGAGTAGCAGTATTGGTACCTTTTGGTTTCCCCAGGTTCTGGTTTGGATGCGTGGACGGGCTTCGCTCAGGTGGACACCAGGACGTCTGTCAGCGCCGCCGGTACGGTCACACAGTTCAGCTACTGGGGAGGGTCCAGCAGCCCAGTGTATCTCCAGATCATGCGCCCTTACTCGGGTAATACCTACACACTCGTCGGCGAAGTGTACTCGCCGGGCACCACGGTCGGCGCAACAAACTACGTCTCGGCCAACATTCCGGTCCAAGCCGGGGACTACCTTGGCTGGTCCTTTGTGGGGACGGCAGCCTTCGGCTTTGCTGGCTCGCCGGACGCTTGTGGCACTGTCCGCTGGAATGCAAACGGGGACGGCGGCCAGCGCACTGTGGGGGGAACGTGGACCTACAATTCCGGGGACTGCCGATCCTACGATGTGTGCGCGACGATCGGTTCGGCGTCGACGCCCAGCCCGACGCCGTACCCGACGGTCTACCCGACGCCCTACCCGACGCCCTTCCCGACGCCCATCCCGACGCCGTACCCGACATCCTACCCGACGGCCTACCCGACGGCCTACCCGACGGTATACCCGACGTCCTACCCGACGCCTTTCCCGACGCCCAGCCCGACGTCCAGCCCGACGTATCCTCCGAATTGGCCCACGCCGCACCCGACGTTTCCTTCTGGAGTTCCGCTGGCGGGCGGAGCAGGCGCAAGCGTGGCTGCCACTGGCGATCCCCATTTGCAGAACGTTCTTGGTCAGCGATTCGACTTGATGAAGCCGGGCAAGCATATTCTGATAAACATCCCTCGTGGAAGGCATAAGAATGTATTGCTTCGTGTGCAGGCCGATGCGCGCAAATTGGGTGGACAATGCGCAGACATGTATTTCCAAGAGCTAAATATCACAGGGCAGTGGGTGGAGGCGAAAGGTACCAGCGGTCTTCGTTTCCAATCTGATGACGTGCATAACGAGCAACCGAAGTGGCTTCAGTTTGGGACGGTGCAGGTGAAGGTTGCACATGGGCACACCCAGGACGGGGCCAAGTATTTGAGTCTCTACGTCAAGCATCTTGGGCACTCTGGGCTTGCAGTCGGAGGATTATTAGGAGAAGATGATCACTCGGATGCAGCGATGTCTTCGGATGGATGTGCTCACCACATCCCCCTTCTTGAGTTACCGTCCACATCGGCTCAAAGCGCATCGGTCTTCTCTGTTGCAGAGGCAAGCTTCGACTGATGGAGTGAGGCTCCCCTTCTAGGCAGCTTGAGCAACGCGTGGAGTATTGCACTCGTAAATTGTCTAATGCACATGGGTCGATTAGGTTGGTGTGCGCTGTGACATGTGTTCTTGGACCTTTTGGCAAAACGCAAACTTTGACATTGAAAGACGCTCAGGGACGACTCGGGAAAGCGGGAGGTGTGTTTCAGAGATGGTGAAACATAGAGGCCGCCAAGCACGCCACAAATCGTCCAATGTGGGGCCTCCGATCCCGGGTGGACGTCACTACCCTCAGAACCGATGTTCTTGGAAGCCCCTGCAGGAAAATCCGAATCGACGCTCACAACAGTTTCCTTGGGAACGCTCCAATCGATAGGAGGAGGAGGTCGCTGGGTTGACGAGGAGGACGGGACGGAGGTCCGTATGAGGTTCAGAAGTGGAGTGGCTCGAGTCGCCTTCACGAAGCTCCCAGA